ACTCCTTGGGAAATACTTAAAGAATCTGACATTGAAGTTACGTTGGACTCTGATATGAAGGATGATGGGATTCTGAAAGACTCCATGGACCATAAATGGGTACATGAATGGAGAGGATTGAGGAATGGATTCACTTATTTTCCCATTTTGACAAAACATTGTCACTATGAGAAAGGGGCTCTTGTCAAGCAAACTTAATTTTTTTAAATGTTTTGTCTAAATAAGCTCCTCTGCAGTATACAGATGGTGTGATTTCTACCACCAGGAACATATAATCATACATACTTCACAGTTCAGCCAAATCACATAATAGCTGCATTAGCTGAACTGTGACATCTACCCAAAGTCCATTAGAAAAGTTATTGTGTTAATTCTGCTGAGGCCCCCAATGAAGTTTTTGTAAGGTAAGAGTCAGTGTGATGAAGACGGGAATGCTTTTCAGATGTAACACTTTTCAGTGTGGAAGATAAATGCTACTTGGACAGTGTTAACATGGTGTTGCAGGCATTGTTAAGGTAATGAATGCAGGACTTATTCTCATCTTTTCAAAGATTTGGCATTGATGGGTGTGTCATGTCTGAAACCTTAATTACTACTAAATAAAGTTTTTGTTTATGTTGATTTCCCAAACTTGTCTTTTTTATATACGAAATTGAAGCAACTCAAATCTTTCAGGATCTGAGAAGAGGAGGAGGAGGAGGAGACAGTAAAACTGCATCACTGAAACCACCCCTAGCTATCTCAATCCTCCCAAAGGTCATTAAATGCAACATGCCGCATAAAGGTCTCTCAGCAATGATATGAGTATTATAAAGTTACAGAATCTAATTAAGCCAAGAGTAACCTGCCATATTTAATGGAAACAACAACCTGTCAGCAGGAGTGACTTCCATGAAAAGAGTATGCAGAACTCCTTCCTTTCCCAAGCACATCAAAGTGTTTCCTGGAAAACTGATACAGCCAGGAGATGCTGCAGCAACAGCATGTGAACTTGTACTGTAATGCTACCATGCTCTCCTCTCTCATGGTCTTCTTCTTCTGCTCATGTGATGCATCTCTCTCTACTTTTAAACCTGGCCAGAAAGATATCACAAAATTTGATCTCAACCTCCACATTATTTGCTTGGATTAAACAAAACATTTATCCTTGTTGAAGTCCTAATTTACAAACACACCAACTGTTCTCATTCCCAGTGATAGCCAGCATGTTTTCTGAGTTTAAATGAGGCGTGTCATTTTGCAAGATGAAGCAGGGGTCTAGGTGAAAGGAACCAGTTTTGAGGGATATAACATGGGGTATACCATGAGTATGGTATACCATGAGTATGACTAAATCTTCCCTCATCGCTGCTAGGACCAGCAATGAAAGACAGTATTTGCTTAATGAAAATATCAAATAGTATTATATAATGATGTGAATAACAGAGTGGAATATATATTTATAAAATCTGTAGATGACACCAGACCGGGAGGGGCTGGTGCGTAGAATTAGAATTTAAAATGACCTTGACAAATTGAAGAATTGATCTAAATCAACAAGATGAAATTCAATAAAGACAAGTGCAAAGTATTTCCCTTACACAAGAAAAATCAAATGCAAAATTACAAAATGGAGAATAGCTAGCTGGTAATACTGCTAAAAAAGATCTGGGTGTTATAGTGGATCACATACTGAATACAAGCCAACTATGCGAGATAGTTGTGAAAAAAGCAAATAGTTTAGGGCATATTAATAGGAGTGATGTTTATAAGACAGAGGTCCCATTCTACTTGGCACTGGTAACACCTCAGCTGGAGTACCGTGTCCATGTGTACTTAAGGAAAGATGGAGAGAGTTGAGAGAAGAGCAACAAAAATGAGAAAACATTTAGAAAACCTGTCCTATGAGGAAAAGTTAAAAAATAAGCATGTTTAGCCTTGAGAAAAGATGATGGGGGTGGGGAGCTGATAACAGTCTTTAGATCTGTTGAGGGGTAGTCTAAAAAGGACTGTGATCAACTGTTCTCCATGACCACTGACAGTAGAAGTAGTAATGGGCTTAGCTCTGCAGCAAGGGAAGTTTAGGATAGTTAATAGGAAAAGCATTCTAAGTATAAGAGTATTTATGTTCTAGAATAGACTTCCAAGAGAGGTTGTGGAATCCTCATTACTGGAGTTTAAGAACAGGTTGGACAAACATCCATTAGAAATGGTCTAAGTTTATTTGGCTCTGTCTCATCACGGAGGACTGAACTTGATGATCTCTAGGGGAGGTCCTGTCCAGTCCTACATTTCTATGATTCTATAAATATTTATTCTAAAATGTCTTTTCAGTCCTATGCTGAATGAAATTGAGTGAACACAAATTTACAATATTGCGCTTGCCTCATTAAAGCAGCTGTACCACATGGAGGTTTATGAAGAGCCTGCTTCTGCTGTTGACCTAATGCAGCAATGGGCTGCCCAGGCTAGTGAGTGGGTTGCATGAACAAACCACCTTCATCGCAGTGGGTCGTAAGACTGTGGTAACTAAGATGGTCTCCCAGCATAAGGTAATTTTGCTAACTACACTTGCTTATCTAGAATTTGTGGGGTGTGCTGACTGGACATAGAGCGGATGCATAGCTTTCACATCAATATTGTGTGCAATTAGCATACACCTCACTTCATGTACATAGAATTTGTTAACACTGTGCACGGTCAATGATAAACAAAATGTCTTGCAAGCCACGCATTGAACCTTGATGGGCTGTACGTTGCACACCGCTGATCTGATGGCCCTAATCATTAACAGAAGAGGCTTTACATCTAGAAATGGTCATTCTCCCACAGATGATCTGATTAGTGATCATCATTAGACATCTAACCACTAGATGGAGCCTCCCCACAAAATCCCCCACACAGTTAAATTAGGGTACAGTTACACACTTACCCTCCCTGGGGAAGACTCTCTAGAGTTGCAGAAACCCACAAGTGTTCAAATTCCCATATATGTGTGCAGGATTGGACCTGAATGTACAATTATGTGAGCCTGAACTCAAGAAACAGGTCAGAGGTATGAGTAGACTCTCAAACCAGAATCCATGGTTTATTGTTATATGAAGATGATGGGCCAAATAATTAGCATGAATGACATTAGCATCTTCTGAAGTCCTGTAGTGTATGTAGTAGTAAATACTATGCCTGATAGTTTGTGTCATTCTAAACCATCTGTGTAGTGGTACAGGAATTAAGTCATCAATAACAATGGCTACCTTGACCTGTAACATATAATTTTCAACATCCAAACCCTAATTTTTTTAAACTTTCAATTGCTATTTATACAAAACATTACAAGTTTTAAGAAACATTGTTACACATAAATTGAAACAACTCCCACACATTTAATTTTATAGATCACATATCTTTGGGCAAGTGATACTTTTTCAAACAGTCAGAGCTAACTTTATATTTCTTCCTCACCAGAAACTGACATGGAACATTCAAGCAGCTTATAAAACTGATCTTCTAACTCCAAAGACAGATTTTGAGAGACCCTTTTCACCCTGTTAAAACAGAAATCCTGGCACAATCTTAACGACTATGATATTGCTGCACCCACACTAAAAACATTGGGCTTTAAACAAACGCACATAATTACTTGAAATTTGTATAAAATATATTTTAATTTCCCCTCATGGTCCATCATCAAAAATATTTACAAGAGACATTGTAAATGTAGAATAGTGTGAAATCAGAGGTATTGGCAAATGGTTTTGCAAACAAAAAGGATTCAAGAAAGAAACTAACAGACACACTTGCTGTACAAGCTGCTGATTACAAAAGGCCCAGCTAACTAGATGAGCAAAACTAGTTCTACAAGAGATTTGCCTCAAAGGTAAAAAAGTTTCTCCAGGAATAATGTCTCCAGGATAATCCCATAACAGTGGTTTGAGCATGCATGAGAATATCTCTTATAAGAAGCAATACTCACACATTCTTGCATGGGAGCATCTAGACCTTCTTTTAATACTCTGGTTCTAAAGTGTTTATTTTCTGGGTTACCTACAGAACTTGATTTAATAAGAAAAGGAAGTTACTCACTTCGTGCAGTAACGATCGTTCTTCGAGGTGTGTCCCCGTGGGTGCTCCACTTCTGGTGTCGGGCTGGTCCCGGCGCCGCAAATCGGAGCTTTACAGAGCTGTGTGTGTGTGTGGTCGGGCAGCGCGCGTGCACTCTCGTTTCGCGCCTTTCATCTACCGCGCGCTGCCCGGCTCCCGCCAGTTCGTCTCACCGCCTATCTGAAAGACAGAAAAAAACAAGATTCCGAAGCAGGGAGGCAGGCGGGTCGTGGCGGACGCC